CCACTCCAGTACATCCCAATCCACCCCAGCATGCCCCAGCACATCCCAGTACACCCCGGTACGCCCCAATGCCCCCCAGCATGCCCCAACACTCCCCAGCTCAGCCCAGCACATCCCAGTACACCCTGATATAACCCAGTGCATCCCAACTCATCCCAACCCACTCCAGTACATCCCAATCCACCCCAGCACTCCCCAACACACCCCAGCTCATCCCAGTACACCCCAATAAACACCCGTACACCCCAATCCACCTCAGCATGCCCTGATACATATGAGCTCATCCCAGTACAGCCCAATACATCCCAATCCACCCCAGCATGCCCCAACACACCCCAGCTCATCCCAGTGCACCCCAGCACATCCCAGTACACCCTGATATACCCCACTGCATCCCCTCCACGTCCCTGTGGGATGACTGCAGCGGACGCCGTCCCTTCTCCAGCTGCCCTGGGAGCTCGGCCAGGCCCGGGGGCGGGCAGGGAGCCGGTGGCCTGGCCGGGCAGAGCGGGGCTGGCCGAGGCAGCAGGGGCCGGGCACGGGGAGTTTTTCCATCTGGTGGATGGGGAGCAATGGCCGCCTTGTCCGGCAGCAGCTCCAGGCGGGACGGTCCTGGCAAGGGCAGGACGGTGGCAGTGGGGACCTGGCCAGGACACGGGGGGTCCTGTCTTTCGCACTGGCTCGGGGCCCACGCGCCGGAGACCTGCTCGGGAGGGGGCAAAGGGGGTCCTGGCGTGCAGCGGGGGTGTCGAGGTGCCCGATGGGGGCGGCTTGGTGTCGGCGGCGCTGCCCCCTCCGGCCCGGGAGCAGCAGCGGGCGCAGCCCCGGACCCCTGGGTGCACAGGACGGGAACAGAGCCCTGCGCCCAGGAGTCTGTGGCGCAGGGCTTGGGCTCCTCGTCCTCCCACCAGGCGCCGTCTCCCTCGGGGTCCGTCTCCCCCTCGTCCCGCACCAGGAAGCGCCACTGGGCGATCTGCAGGAGGGCGTCCCGCGCCTGGCCCACGGTGAAGGGCACGCGCTGCGGGCAGAGCCAGGGCTGAGCCCCCCGCGCCC